GACAAGGGATTGAAGAAAGTTGGGGGAAAATCGAGAACATTCAATCGATTCAACTACGGAGATGGCGCCGTGGAGGAAGAGGAAGAGGATTACAATTCCGTGGAGGATAAGCAGTTTGTGCGGTGGTTTAGGGAGGCTTGGCCTTACTTATGGGCTCATAGAGGAGGCACTTTCGTTGTGATCATTTCTGGGGAAATTGTATCTAGCTCTTACTTAAATCTTATTCTGAAGGCAGGTCTTGTCGTCATCTCTATAATGTGTCTGTTCTTGTGTTTGTATTGATAAAATCCGTCCTGTTCTATGATGTATTTCGTTAGGTTTTGTTTTGGTTTGAATTATTACTATGTTGAAGCTTTATGTATGTGCAGGATATTGCTTTTCTTCATCACCTTGGGATCAGATTCATTCTTGTTCCCGGGACCCGCGTGTTAATTGACAAAATTTTGGCAGAGAGAGGTTTTTAAGTTGATTTCTTTTGTATATTATATGCAATGTCATTGAAACCAAGGACTTGGATCACTTTGTTATTACCCTATTAGTTTATTATAACACGAATTTGTTCTTTTTTAATCTTCTTCTTTTCAATGAACCTTAATATGTTTCTTTATAACTGTCTTTAATCCGTCACAGGAAGCAAGCCGAATTTTGTTGGTCAATATAGAGTTACTGACAACGAAACTCTAGCAGCTGCAATGGAAGCGGCTGGAGGTATCCGTGTGATGATAGAAGCAAAGCTTTCCCCTGGACCTTCTATATGCAATATTCGCAGACATGGTGACAGCAGACGTTGGCATGAAGTTGGTGTAAGCGTTGTTAGTGGCAACTTTCTTGCTGCCAAGGTAGAAACCTTTTTGGTTTGTGAATGTGGTATTTGAGATGAAACGCCGTTGAATATTTTCATGGTGATTTGGGATATTATTTAGTTGCAAACTATAGAATGAGTCGTTACTATCCTTTTGCAGAGAAGGGGAGTTGTTGATGGTGTTGATTATGGAGCAACGGGTGAAGTTAAAAAAGTAGACGTAGCTCGCATGCGTGAGAGGCTTGATGGTGGTTGCATAGTTATATTGAGCAACCTGGGTTATTCTAGTTCTGGTGAAGTTCTGAATTGCAAGTATGCAATGATGCTTGTAGTTATCTGTTGTCAAAGCTTGTTATTAGTTGCTTCCTTCTTAATTATGACTTGTTTTGTAGGCATTTGCTCACTCACTTTTTCTCATACGCATTTCATTATTTCTCAGCTTGTGTAACTGTTTCCCTGGAATGTCAGGGAAGTAATTACAGAATGTGGATGGCTCTAATGTTCTTGAATTCTCTTATAAATGTAGTGGTGGTGGTGAAATTAAGAGGGTGGAAATTTAGTTGAAATCACTATGAGGAAGAGCAGTTACTAATGATTTTGTTTCGTGGATTTCAGTACATATGAGGTTGCAACAGCATGCGCATTGGCTATTGGAGCTGACAAGCTTATATGCATTATAGATGGTCCTATTCTAGATGAAGCTGGACGCCATATTAGTTTTCTAACTCTTCAAGAAGCAGACATGTTAATACGTGAAAGGGCCAAGCAATGTGAGATAGCTGCAAATTATGTGAAAGTTGTTGGTAAGGAAGATTTTACTCGTAATGATTCAAATGGGAGTATCCATTCACAGAATGGAAATGCTTCTTTCGAAGATCATAGTCCAACATTCCAGAATGGAGTTGGTTTTAGTTCCCATCATAGTCCAACATTTCAGAATGGAGTAGGTTTTGGCTTCCATCGTAAACCAGTATTCCAAAATGGAGTTGGTTTTGGTAGTGGGAATGGGCTTTGGTCCTCTGAACAGGGTTTTGCCATTGGAGGTGAGCGGAATAGCCACTTGAATGGTTACCTCTCAGAATTGGCTGCTGCAGCCTTTGTTTGCCGGGTAAATTCTTCTATTACCTCCTGTTACCAAGTCTGAACATGTTCCCACGTATTGTCTCTGGTCCTTTGATTTTCTAGTTGTCTTAAATTTGTACTTCACATGGACTTTCTTAATTTTTTCCCCTCGCACACACAGGCATAGGAAAAAGAAAACAAATGCCTAATCATGTGTTTCAATGAATTAGAGCTTGCTTAATCCTTTTGCAGCTCTTGATCTCTGATCAGCCCTTTGCTTTATTTTTAATCATATTTAACTATTTCAAGTTGAAACTGTATGATCGAAGTTATCATCAGCAGTGGTGGGAAAAAAGTAGGGCAAAAATTATGTATAAAATACTTATGATTCTGTAGTTGTCCTCTAGTTTGCCCCCCTAAAGTTTTAGAATTCAGAGATTATATTTATAGAACGTTAAAATTCAAAATTTTGCCCCTTCCTAAGAGAATTCATTGGTTATCATTACATAAGCCTATACTCAAACTTTGTTCCTTCGTATGTGGCTCAATAGATCTTCAGTTCTTGGAGAATTACCTGAATTATCCAGATCGTTGTGGAATGAGTTATTTTCATTTCATGTTGAAGTTTGGCTTGAATTGGGCTAAAGTGAGTGAGTTTGTTGCATACTTTTAGGGTGGTGTTCAAAGAGTACATTTGCTAGACGGAACTATTGGAGGAGTTTTATTGCTGGAATTGTTTAAGAGAGATGGAATGGGCACTATGATAGCCAGGCAAGTCTCTTTCGTTTTATCTTTTATTAAAGATACATTATTAAATATCAACTTAAATAATGGATATACTTGATAATTAGTTTCACGTAATTGATTGCTATGTTCTTATTCCAAAATAAAAAGTACTATTAGATTTTGAGGTCAACTAGCACTTCATAATTGTGTGGGGCTGAGCAATTTTAGTGATATTGTTATTGTTCTTTTTTTAAAAGCTTTTTGTATTGTATTCACCTATATGTTATTGTCATATTGTTGGTGGCTCCTAGTAATGCTTTGGGAATTATGTTGGCGAAAGAATCATTTGTGTTAGAGTTACCAATTGCCAACTATAATTAATTATAAGGCTAATTTTGATCTATTAACTGATATGCCTGATGAAATTTTTTATTCCAGTGATCTTTACGAGGGAACACGAATGGCCAGAGTGTCTGATGTTCGTGGGATTAGACAAATTATTCAACCTTTAGAAATGGCTGGTACCTTGGTTCGGAGAACTGATGAAGAGGTTTGTATTCCAGCGTCCTTCATCCTTTCCAGTTTCTTGCATGAACCACAGCCACCATAAGTTACATAAAGTTTTTATTGCAGCTACTTGAATCATTAGACTCATTAGTTGTCGTTGAGAGAGAAGGTCAAATTATTGCATGTGCTGCACTCTTCCCATTCTTTGAAGAGAGATGTGGAGAGATTGCTGCCATCGCTGTTTCTGCAGAGTGCCGAGGACAAGGACAAGGCGACAAATTGCTTGGTATGATAATCAATTGCTTTATCACATACTATATGTAAGGAATGAATTCTGTTCAACTCGTTAGGCCATGGTTTATAATGTCTGTTTATGGTGTCTACAAGTGCCTTTTTGCTTAATTTACGTGCTCTACTTCATTTGGGCATGGTAAAAATAATAGATATTGGTTAGCTCTTGGGAGGAATCTTAAAAGGGTCTCACTCATTGCGCCACAATCAGCTCCCCGCTGTATTATTTTAAAAATTAATAATTAGTACAATTTATTCTGTATAATATTTGTTATGCTCTTCTTTGGCAGTTGAAATTAAGTTCAATATAAGTTCTTAGAATTCTCTGATTATTGTGGTGCAGGATACTCGTTAAGAAATTTGTTTCCTGATTTAAAAAATAGTTGTGATTACCATTTGTGAACCATTTGAAACGAATAACTATCAGATTCAGGCGTTCTTGGGTGCTTGCTGTCTTCATTGACTGATACATAATTCGGCTTACTGAGCTGCAGATTACATGGAAAAGAAGGCCGCCTCCCTAGGACTGGACAGGCTCTTTCTGCTCACAACACGAACTGCAGACTGGTTCGTTTGCAATCTTACCTGATTTTATTGCATGTCTTCCTGCAACATTATACATATTTTTAAATTGATTTCAAATTAGTTGCTGGTTGCTTTACCAATACTCATCACTACACATACAAGCTCCAGGGTAATTCTGGTTCAGCTGTTCGTTTTCATATTCTGATCACTCATCTTTTACTATATCAATTGAATAAGATTGTTCTCATTAGCTTTTGATAATAAAGTTTATATCCATCTTGGATGGCAATGTGTGAAGATAGAAAATGTCACCATGTTCATCTCCATGGCTATAGCTTTCTATTATAATTTAGTTGATTTTCAATGGAAGGAAATGATACCCCACTTTTTTAACAGGTTTGTGAGGCGTGGTTTCTCAGAATGTTCATTTGAATCAATACCTGAAAATCGGAGAAAAAGGATAAATCTATCCCGGAAATCCAAGTACTACATGAAGAAGCTGTTGCCAGATAGGAACAGGAACGGTAGAATTGACAGGGCGTTCGCTTGACCCTCGATTGAGAATTGAAATGTCTCGTAGTAGAAGAAGCATATGTTCCTTTACCTGTCAGTCAAGACCCGCCGTCCATACCATGTGGGTTATCATCTGTATTTGTTCACCTAGACATGTATATAATGTTCTAAAAAGAAGTTGATTGCAGGCCTCCACAATAAAATTTTGATCGTCTGCATCTTATCAATGCCACTCAACGTGTACTTGCGACACACCAAGGTTTGTATTTATATTTTGTTGGGCAAATTAAGTGTATAAACAGTGAGATAGGTACAAAACAAAGGCAAATTTTGATTCCCTAGATCATATCATTGCAATGTATGGTGTCATTTATGCTTTTCTTTAGCAAATCAAGTATACAAACAGTGAAAATTGATCGTGTCTGCAGAGAACAAGGCATGGGAGTAGTGCCATCCGAAACAGAAAATTTACAATACACTAATAGCCGTGCTCTTGATGATATTTTGCACATGATTCATTAACTTTATGGCTCTATGTTCTGTGATACGACTCACAGCACTGATTTAAATAGGGTTCACGGAATCAAGCTATTGGAGTACTAAAGACATTATCTTCATTGCACAAAATATGACTTAAACAACTCCTATGCTCGTTTTTTACTCGAGATACTGCTCAAAATGCATATGAGCTTTCATTCAATGTTCTGTATCAGGAACATAACGAGATAACAAAAGTTACAAGGTCAAGTGAGTACACACCATGGTTCCACTTATTATAACCAACTTCCTCAGAAATAAGCACCGAAATGGGCTACACAAACCCTCCAGTCTGTTCTGCCTTGGGAACCCGGGACATTGGCTTCCGCCAACCGTGGACTATTAAGGATCAAATGAGATGAGAAAAAGTGTGGTGAACAAGTTTACGCCTCCTTGGGTTCAGGATGGCCCTTCCATTTGAAATTGTCAGCATATGCCTTCGCCTAAAGCCAAAACAGGGAGTTAGTTTTTTCTGTTTCTTTATTTTAGAATGCTCATGGTGAACTAAACAGCCAAGATTCACGGAATGTCATTAGTTAGATGACATGAAGAAAACAAGCAGCATCAAAATTCCTTCATCAACTAATGCTAACAGACTTTAAAAACCTTTGTCAGATCTTCATCCTACTTATCTATCATAAAGGAGCTCTTAGCTGTTAGAACATCTAAATACTCCAATAGTAACAACCCAAGTTCATATAACGTCGTTTGGGGAAGAATTACGTCTACTACAACAAAACAACAATTGGTACCGAAATGAAACTGAAACTGAGCTCCTTAAACTAGCTACAAGAAGACTCTAGATTGCCAAAGGATTGAGAAATCTCAAACGAAATGTCCTAAAGGCAACAAAAATTGGACGAAACAAATAAAATTGAAAATAAAATGCCAGCAGAACTACAAAAGACGATGAAAGAAGTGGCCATTAAACAAAGGAATAAAATTTAACACGAAGGAACAGTCCTTGAAAATAGTCGAAGCTAGGATATGCGACAGAGAGCTTAATGGATGAATCATTCTTAGCTTCAGCGTGGTCCCTCATCTCTCAAAAATACAGTCACAGAACCATAGACAAAATACAAGCTCAATGAAATTATTAATGGGAAAGAATTTCAAACCTTCAAAAGTGGTGTGTGGCGCTTCTTAACCTACAAAATGGAGAAAAAGGGGGCAAAAAAGAATCAAGAAACACAATCAACATAAGAATGAGAATTAACCAGAAGCATGTGGACTGTCTCTCCGTGTAATATCATAATAATGCAGACCAGAAAAGTGATTCCTAAATCTGAACATTAAAGAAACAACTTCAAAAAAAACGCCCATTAAGAGTCCACTCCCCAGATAATGATAAAATTGTAAAGCAATGCCAACAGAATGCTAAATAAGAAGCTTGAACTTTCTGCAACTAATGGACCAAATTTGGAAGAAATACTGGCATTTCTTCCCCCTCAAATTTCTGAATTTTAGCTTCAAACTAATACTAGAAGATTAAATAGCCGAACTTATTTCCACTATCTTAAAATATAAGAACTTACATTCAGAGTCAAACGCCAAACATATAATAGCCCAAATGCAGAAATCATGAATCATCTTTGTTATTCTAAATAAACATATTAAACAATCATATCCAAGGGCAATTTCACTTTTGAATCAGACTGGATTGTTTTGACCTTGAGGGAAGGCAAAGATCTATTGTAAAGAATATATTAGAATATACGCACAATTTATCAACACCTCCAACTGTAATTGTCACTGATTTGAAGGCAACGGACACAAAAAATAACACAGTTTATAACTAACCTAAAATATGACACCTCAAACTACATAAAGGGAATTACAAGAAGAAAATTCTCTCTAAATGGTTAACGAAACGTTACCACATATTCCCATCCATGTTTCTCAGCAAATGCCTTTGCAGCTTCTTCACTGTCAAAAGATAGCGCAGAGTCCCCTACATTGGCGTAGGGGTCTCCAGTAGAAGTCCATCCCATCAATGGGTTTTCCCACCTACAAACATGACAATAAGCATAAGAAAACTCTTCACTCTTCTGTTTGTATGTTTTTCTTTCTTAAATGAGAAACCAATCTTTTATGAAAATAACTGACATACTACACACGGAATACAAAAACGAACAAATCCACCACAAAAGGTGCCTTATCAGAGAAACAAAAATCCAAAATGACAGAAACTATAAGCGGAAAAACGAATCTAATTGATGAGAGTAAGAGAACAAGGGTCATTAACTTTGGGCACTTGAATTGCCCAGTATAACATGTTGTGCACAATATTTCAACTCCTAGGAATCTGCTAGAACTGACTTAAAAAATTCTGTTATCTAATGAAGCAGCAGTTCGATTTTTTTAAAAGTAAAACTCGGGAAATAAAGAAAAAGAAGAATTCATACTTTTGTGTTGACATAAAGTTGATTTTCCACTTGCCGACCTTTCCTGATCCTTGCTGGGATGCAGTTCTAGCCGGAGAGTAGATTACAACCTGACGTATTTCATGATAGGAAGACAAATGAATCAGGATGGTCATATAAAAAGGATTAATGTTATGGGGAAATCCACAGTTAGTGGTTTGCACATCAAAATTACAAGGTTAAACCTCAATTCATGTAAAATCCAATCCCGAAGAAATTAAATCCAATAAATATATAATTTTTAAAAAAAACCCAACATTTGCCTTTTATACAGAACAAAATGAAAAGCTAAACAATTGCTCCTGAATAACTTATAGAGACTATGAGATAGTAATTGATAAAGCCTTTTGTGAAATCAACATAAAAGAACGGATTTCTCCCTAGCAACTGATTTGGATAACCGATAGCAATATCCCGTAGGATAAGAAAAGGAATGGCCAAGGTGCGGTTGTTCTTTGTGATTAAACCTTGGGCTCCTCTACAATTTTTACTTTATTTTAATCAATTTTTGGTGATCAAGAGCCTATTCATACTAAATGTAGCGTCGTAGTGCTAAATCAGCCGGAATTTTCCATCTCCTTATCGAAACCGACTACATTTCGACATAGAAGCAACAAAGTAACACCTAAAGGGTTTAGCCACAGCAGACCATTCTAAAAGACCCAGGTAAAAACAAGCAAGAACTGTCAACCAGACGGGTATAAATATACCTAATCCCCAAAAATCATCAATACCATCCAATAACTCGCTCCGTCTAAACTAAACCACAACGTAAACAATTAGAAACTCGTTGATAAATACTAGAGCAGATGAATGCTGGGCAATACCCTTCTGGTAAGGTGTTCCTCGGGAATTCCGGAGACCATACCGATCTCGCCGGGCTTGACTTCAACCAAAGAGTCGGCGGAGAATGACCTGCAAAGAGGAGCCATAGTACCACGGAGAGCACACCCGCGGTTCCAGATTCTCTGCAAGGAGTTAGCCATCTGTCGATGAACAAAATTCGACGCGAAAACTAGTTTTCCGTCTGGCTCGTCCCCCCGCTAATAACACAGTTCCGACTCGATTATGCTTCGAACAACGGAGATGATTTCTCTAAAACTTGTAGGGATTGCAGGTGCTAGAACTTTTCCAAACTAAGCTAGAAAATAAAAGGTCGACTAAAAATTACTTTTTTTTTTTTTACTGTTTCTTTAAATTAAAAAAAAAAAAAATTGAATCTTTTTTTAAAAAATTAAAAATAGTCTATATTTAAAAAACATTCCTAAAATTTTAAAGATAAATTTCTTAAAAAGTTTATATTCAATAATAAAATCTTTTAATTATTGATACTAAATATTTAAATTAATTCACTTATAATAATTTATAAATATATTTGAAATCAAATTCGAAAAAAATATGTAATAGAATTTAAAATTTTTAGTAACATGAAGATATATTTATTTTTTTACCGAGTGAGATGGGCAGTGATTAGTAATTAGCTTGGAAAAGGGGCAGGTTGAGTAATTACGATGGATAAATTGAGTGTCAACATTCCCCAGTTTTTCTCCCTTCTAAAGCCTTTTCCTCTTTTTCATCTATTCAACTATATTTGTTCTTCCCAAGATTCGTGTTGCTTTGACGATGTGACCCCTGAATTTCTCGTCTTCAAAATAATTTGTCTAGTACTGGACTGATCTTTCTTTCGATCGGACGCGCGCTCGTAAATTGCCAGAAAACCTTGAGGAGACTCTGAACGAGCGGAAATGGTTTAAGCTGCAGTCTTTGTTGGTTTTCAAAGTTCCACTCAACTACGATATTCGATTGCTCCCTATTTTTCTAAGGTAATAAAGGCAGAATTTTGTTTCTGTTCTGTTTGTTCAATTCTTTCCTTTGTGTTTTCAGTTTTGAATGAATTGTTTGGTGGAAATCGAAATAGTTTTTTAGGCACTACAAGCTGGGACTCCTTCTGAGAGAAAAATTGATTACATATGTCTAACAATTTGAATTATTGGATAGAATGATATCGCATGTCTCTTTATCCGATCAATAACTTTGCAACTTCGTTGTTGAATGTGATATAGAGGTGCTCGAAATCACTTCTCCTCCTCCTCCACGAATGATGGAATCGTCTTACATGAAAGTATTGGCTACTCTCTTGTCCATTTGATGGTTTACTATTTTGTTTTGTTTGCTTTAGAATCGATCAAATTAACATTGAAAGCTCCTTATGTGCAATTTCATTTTCTTTGAAAATCCTTTATTTCTTGTAAACGATGGAAGTACTTGCTGACTAGTCGTTTGTTTTCGATGAATTGATTTGATTGCTTACTGGAGTTCCCGACCAATACTTAAAAAAAATTGTTGCAGAGTTGGGGGGGCTTTTGTAAATGGGTGCGCCAAAGCAGAAATGGACAGCTGAAGAAGAAGCTGCCCTTAAAGCAGGAGTGATCAAGCATGGAGCAGGAAAATGGCGCACAATACTAACAGATCCAGAGTTCAGCTCAATTTTGCATCAGCGCTCAAATGTGGATCTCAAGGTGCCTCCCTTCACCCCCCTAGTTATCGTTTATTCGCCATAATTAAGCCACAGGATGTAGCAATTCACCAAGCATCCCATGTTGAGTTTTCCTTTCCATATTCTACTTGGAAACACAGTGCTTGGTTTACTGAAACATTAATGACTTTTTAATGTAATTTTGGCTCTGAACAGGACAAGTGGAGAAATATAAATGTTACTGCAATATGGGGCTCTAGGCAAAAAGCTAAGCTCGCACTTAAAAAGAATCCTTTGGCCCTAAAACATCACGATGATCCTATGCCTGTAAGCACCGTGCATCAGAATGAGGAGATTGTTGACGCTAAGCCACTTGCAATTTCAAATGGAACAATTCGCACTAATGGTCCAAAAGAGCCACTAGCAAGGTCTCATGGCTGCTGATTATGTGAATCTTTCTTGTTCCAGGGTGAAGGAGTCTGATACATATTGTGATTATTGCATAACCAATTGTTATTATGGTTCACATAGTTTTAAAAGTATCAAATACCATAGCTAGCTAAATTTTCTGGTAAAGTAAATCTTGACATTTTTTTTCTACTTCCAGAAACTAATGACTAGTGATTAAATAATTGTTTAATCAATGATGTGCATCACATACGCTACAAAGAGAAGTCATCGCCTAGTCTGCATACACACACACACACATAACATTTTGTAATGCATGACGTAGTTCCTCAACTTTATTGCATTTAGTGTTACCCTATTTAACTTGCATTCTTTTTGGAGGCAAAATTGCTTCAATTTCTTGTTCAGCTTTCCTGGAATCAAATGAGGGAACAAGAGGCCTTTTTTGGTTCTATTATCTTACCTTTTGCCTCTATGGTAGTTATTTTGATATAAGAAATGATACATTAATGATCTAGGTGATCTTTCACCACCTGCATTCAGAATGAGAAAATCTAATTTCCAAATTGGTCTATATATCCACTAAACATGGTTTTAAACATCATGTTCTAAAATTAGTCTTCACTGGAAGCTGCAGGTGCTTCATTGTTCCTTTCCTGCTTTCGAATAGATTTATAAGACCTGTTTTGCATGTTGTAGATTGGACAAACTTATATCAGAGGCAATTAACAACTTAAAGGAGCAAAGGGGTTCTGACCGGGCTGCAATTGCTATGTACATAGAGGTGCTAATGCATAATACAAGTGGATCGAATTGTTTGACAATTTTGTATGTGGAGTAAAGATCTTATGCATAGAATGGATAATTATTAAAACTAATTGCTATGAGATGCTGTAATATGTCATGTTCTTAGCGTGGAAGGGATGCCAATCAGTCAATAAGTGTACTAAAATGTGATTTCCTTATTTGTTTGTAGCACTGCATGCTAGTCTTTGTGTGTGTGAGTATTAAATAAGAGAGAGCTTTTTAGTGAAAGAGTGGGAAAGGAGCAAAAAGTGGTGAGACTTCTAACAAAAACCAAGGAGATTACGAGAGGGTTCTCCTCTTGTTTATTAAATTCACTTCTTTCAGGCAGTTTTATCATCTCTACAATTGGGTACTTAGATATATTACTTTCAGCTCCTGGGTTTTTCTTATTCATAAGTTAGATCCCTAACAAACTGTGTACTCTGGTCATTTTGAAGTCTTACATGATAGTAAAATCTCACAAATTTAAATAAGTAAAAATAAATTCAGAAGATTTGATGACCGTCACTTTATGTATTTGTCATTACCATCTTCTTACCTTGATGCCTCTGCAAAAAATGGTATAATTCTGAAGTTTTCATTTGTTCTTTGTGTAGGAGCATTACTGGGCCCCACCAAACCTTAAAAAACTCCTTTCAACAAAATTGAAGCATATGACGGCAAATGGAAAGTTGATAAAGGTAATTCTCCTACTATAATACAGAAATTATATGGAAAAATGATTATTCTAGCAGCTGTTGAGACTGTTGAGATTTAAGGCTGATTGAATATTGACTGGTAAGCGTGTGCTATTTTCTTCGCTAGGAGGAAGGCCTGAAGGAGCAGTGACTTAGGGAGTTTTAGAATAGCAAGGGTTTATTGAACTTTTTTGCATGAGAATGATGTCAATCTGTTTTGGGGAGTGTTCTTGAGGTATGTCTAGGGAGACAGTAAGGCTGTATCTATAATGTTAACAAAAGAAATCAAAAGGGGAGGGGAAAAGGGGTAAGCTGGTTATGGTAGCAAGTAGGATTGAACAAACCATTCAAAATCGTGCGACCCCCACTGTTCGAGTAGTCTTCTTGGCAGTCAGTTCTTATAATTGTTTTGTTGGGGAAACAAATTCATTGAATCAAGATTTGATCAATGGGACACAACCATGCTCGAGTAGACAGGTCATGCTTGACGGTGTTATTTGAGGTGATTTGTTTGTCTTTTTTTTAATGCCATTTTGGTTTGTAGCTCTAGTCTGAAGACTTGTGTTCAGCATTTAGGTGCATTGTCGCATGATCAAAGGCTATATGCTAACATCCAGAAATGTGTATTTTCCTAAATGGAACTTACCCCAGTCATATATTACCGAAGGGTTGGGTATCATCTATTCAACAGAAAATTGAAGCCCTGCATGTCTTGTGTGTTTCAATAACGTTGAAGGAATTGAAGTGGTTCCTTTTAACTGGGTACCAAAGAAAATTTAAGAAGGATAGTGGACACATATTGTGGCCACTCATGGAACCATTGACAAGGGATCAGTTTACATAGATACAACTTAGGCCAGCAGGTCCATCAGCGGCTAAAAAGAGCCATAGTAAATTTCTAGGTTCTTTCTTCACCAAAATTTGAAGTGTACTTCTTTTCACATACAAATGGATAGCCAGTCCAAAGTTGTAAACTGTTTAGAAGCAGATCCTTGACTTGGCACAGATAACCAAAACAGTGGATTCATTTGGGCCAAAATTGGTTGAACACTTCATACCTTAAAGCAACTCCTTTTGAGGCACTCTTTGGTCAAGACCCAACCTCACTTAACTGTTCCAGCTTCTCGCAATAGTTAAGTGAGATTGGATCTTGACCAAAGAGTGCCTCAAAAGAGGGAGCTTTTAGATCCTCAAACCTTTAAGAGTTTCTATGAAAATCCATCCTCACCTACATTGCTCTCTTTCTTCAAAAGAGTGATGTATTGTATTCCAGGTCTAGCCCAATAAATATGAAGACATTGGTCAACAAGAAGAGGAAGGATTTGAGTTTTGTAGTAGGCGACTTGGTTTTCCTGAAGTTATGCCCCTATAGACGACGTTCTCTTGTTCAGTGATCAATAAGAAACTTGCACCCTTTCTTTGCAGTCGTTTGCCAATGGAGTATTAGGTGTGTTATGTGGGATATCGATGGAATCTACCAGCTACAGTTGATATGCCTTCAGTGTTCCACGTGTCCCAACTTTGTCCAACCTGGCTCGACATTTGAAGGCTTGCATCTCGACTTTGAAAGGGTTTTGTCGTGGAACCATAAATAATATTGAACGTCTTCAAAAAGAGTTTGGTCAGTCAAATTGAGATGGAGCCATAAATAACTAACCCTGACGCTAGAGCCATAAATAATTAACCCTGATGCTAAAGCCATAAATAATTAACCTGATGCTAGAGCCATATTAACATGCTACATCACCCTTCAGATTTGCCCGGTTATGTGGTCAAGAATTTCTTAAAGGGCATTCTAAAACCTTACCAAGTATTTTATTGAAGGCAAATTTTTTGAACATGTTTCTGAAGGATGTACTATTATTCGGTTGTAGAAGGAATTCACGCTCAAATTAGAGTTTTGTTTTCCTTTTCATTCTGGGATGTTAAAAGTCTGATATATTGATAAGTCTGCACCGTTGTTAATTATAATGCAAGTAAAACTGAAATGGTTAAAAAATCACAAGGAAAGTGGTGAACTTGAGGCTGGAAAATGAACGATAGTGCTGCCATTTGCTACTGGAACATTTATATGGATTTTGTTTGTCTAGGTAAAGCACAAGTACAGAATTGATCCAAATTCAACCTTATCTGGAAGAAGAAATGTTCCATTGTTACTCCTTGAGGACAAGCAGATGGATTCTTCGAAGGCCGAGAAGAGTGAAGTCAAAATCATCACTAAATCCCAAGTTGACTCGGAACTTTCGAAGATGAAGATAATGACTACAGAGGAGGCGGCTATAGCTGCTGCACGTGCAGTAGCTGAGGCAGAGGCTGCCATTGCAGAGGCTGAAAGGGCAGCAAGAGAAGCAGAAGAAGCAGAGGCTGAAGCTGAATCAGCACAAGTTTTTGCTGAAGCGGCGATGAAGGCATTGGAGTGCAGAATGTTCCCTAGTAGAAATCCTATTCAAAAAGTTCTTCTCCAAGGTAATGCAACGCACAGCTTCAGTCATAAATTACAAATTTATATACTTAATATTGCTGCATATCTTGTTTAATTGCGACACGAAACTTACATGTGTCAATATGCGTATTTAGCTTTTTGATAAATTAATGTCAGCTTAAAAAAGATAACCAAAATCGTGATATAAATTGGTTGTGTGGACCTTTTCTGACGTTTAAATTTCTTCTTGCACTAATTGTTTTTCTTGAGAGATGCTATATTTAGACTGTTACCAACTCGCCTTTCACTTCACTACCCCTCGTGCTCAAATTGTTTGGCTATTGACCAAAGTTAGTTTTGGTTATTCTATCAATGATTTCACTCTCGAGATCAAAATTTATAACAAGAGTTTATTGTTATTCACCATGTTAATCATCTTGGGATGTATCATTTTTATACTCGGTTATTTTGACAGATACCATAACTTTTCAATGATAACTGTAGGCAACGTGTTCTGAGAAGATGAAGGTGCTGCTGCATTTCCATGTGCAACTGATGTAACCAAGTGTAGATATTGTTAGCGTTGTAAATCTGCAGAATATGATTGCCTTATGAGAAAGACGGCCTCTGGGGATCATGTCATCGGAAGTGTATGTCGGTAATGTGATTTTAAAATCAAACATAGGGTAAAGGATTTTGGTGAGAGAGAGGTGCTTACTTGATCTGAAAATGTTGTTTCCTCGACAGACTGTCTTTGCGATTTTAAGAGATCAAAATTATAAATTAAGATGTGATTTTTGGTCCACCCAATACACAACTTCGAACAAGTTTCTCAAACTAATGTGGAACAATACGTTTTTCCAGAAGTACAGAAATGAACAATTACGAATGATTATTAGCATTTCCACGGTGGAATAAGTTTGCATTATAGCATTTACAATAGAGTTTCCGCAGCAGTCTTTGTGATTCTATGAACATGATAAAACATGAAGACAAACAGAGGACAAAACTTTTATAACTCAAGTTGCTGATTGAAATATTTCTGCAGGCGTGAAGAACTTCCTCAACCAAGGAAAAAAAAAAACCCAGAAACAAGTTCCGACAATGGAGTCCCGAGCAGGGTCTTTAATTTATTCTGGGTCATACCGAAGGGGTATTTTTGTTTATCTCGCATTGAAGCATGTCATTACAGAACTAATGAAACATTACTCGAGCTTCCAATATATATAGATGTCTATAGAAATTCTAAGGCAGGAGGAGGATGCTGAAAAGGCTCAAATTCACTTTCGTCTGTTACGCATCGCTGACGGCCTCATGTGGGATTTGTTTTGTTTCCCTCTTCAGTCGAATCAAAAGATTCGATAAGATTTGTAACATGGCAACTAGTTATAAATGTGTCTTGTAAGCTACTGTGGCAACTATTCATCAATCTTCTGAAAAATCAATTCCCTCGTGAAAGGAAAAGATGAGGAACAAATACACATCCACCAAACTTTCTTCTAAAAACACCTTATGAACTGAGTTTCTAACGAGAGGCACCTGTTTTCCTTCTCCATTAGATAATAACAGCAACAAACAAAATGCCACGATGGAGGAGCATCATCGTCGATAGGTTATGCCATCAGCATCATCAACCCATAAAAAAAATTGATCGCCACACAACAATTTTTCACGACTTTTTGCCAACAATGTAAGGCCACATTAGAAGCAGCGGAATGAAAATTGCCTCATTGTTCTTCATCTATCTCAGGGAAAGAACAAAACCCACACACCTTTTCCCTCAGCTCAAGGAAATTCTGCTCAAGTAAAAGTACAACTCTTTTTCATATATCACATTGCACGAGTAGAGAAATCCAGTAAGAGATGGATTTGTTAAATTCTTCCAAGTCCGCCCAAGAACGTCAGAATGGAACTGGTTCTCATTGAAAATCAAATGGAGAAATGCCAAAGGGGAAAAGCCAAATGTACTTTAAATCTCATGTCAAGCAACAATATCATTATGAAATGTAATCTTCGGAAAACTTGGCTCTTTCAAAAAATTTCGTTAGTTCTCAAACAAGGGCAGCTTTATTTTAATCCAAAATGAACATACGAAATGACAAGAAAAAAGAAGTCATTCCAGTACCGCGGTAGCTCCCAATTCCTTCAGCTTTTCAATAATTGGGTTTCCTTGATCTTTCGTTACACCCTTCTTCAGCACCACAGGCACCTTCTCCACCAAATCCTTAGCCTCCTTCAGACCCAAATCAGTGAACGTCCTCACCTCCTTTATGATCTTGATCTTCGCTGCCGCATCAAATTTCTCGAGCTTTATATCGAACACGGTTTTCTCAGCCTCTTTTGCTACGGCGGATGCAGATCCGGCGGACGCCGAACCTGATGCGCTTAGACCAGAAACTGCAGGGCCGTACTTGTTTAACCCCATTTTCAGCCGGAAGAGGATGGCATAATCGTGTCGTTCGATTTTAGTGAGGCCAAGGAGGTCATCGGCGATCCGCTGGAGTTTCTGGGTTCGTTCCTCGGAGACGGTGCCGAGGGACCGAACAAGTAATTGTCTCGGAGCGATAGTGAGAAGTCTCCCTAGAGCTTTGGCCGGAAGTTTGGAGGCAATTGATGGCATTTCGAGGAATTAGGGTTTCTGAGAACACCGTGGATGATATTGATTCGTCACAGAGTGTCGTCCTTCATTGAAGCACTGAGTTTCTACAGATGGAGGAAGCCGAGGGTTACTCTGAAGTCATTAGGGTTTCCCCTTCCATTAGTGCCGTGGCCTTCAAAATTAAAGAAACTACTTGAGAATTTGAAAAATGTCACAATATAAAAAATTTGAAAAATAGCCCATACGAAAAGTCGAAATTACCCTTCAAATTAAAAGAGTTCCCCTTCTATTGTCTATGGAATGAAATTACACACCATTCATCAGAATTTCATAAATAATTTATTTTTCAAACACTTTTTTTGCTTTCATATTTAATACTTTAATCATATTTGAAATGATCCGAACTAGTTTAGATGAGTTGGAGGATAGAAATAGTCGAAATTTATCTTTGATACAATAGAATTAGGGTGGATTGAGAGATCCCGATTGAAAGAATACAAATATTCGTGGAATAATGAAAAAAATAGAATTGAACTTATTAAAAAGAACACCGACAAAATTTGAAAGCTGCAACCTTTCGTCATTCGCCATTGGAGTGCAATGAAAAACAAAGAATAAATGAACGGTGCGTATAGGGAAATAGATACTCATTTTAATGAGTGGTTGACCAAACGAACTTTGTGGCCACTAATATACATAGAAATCATAGAGCTAAACTACAGGGTGAACAACCAACGGCCTCACCTCACTAAGTCTATGTGATTGAAGAAACCTCTCTGTGTGTGGTCGACTTGGGTTGGGTTTATTTATACTGGAATAGTCTTCAAGAAAGCAGCAATGGGCATGCCTAGAAATCCAACCACCACGCTAAACAGCCACTCCGACGAAGTCAGAGGGGTGGTGCTTGCAAATGTTCCCAAAAATTCGATGATTAGTATTTGGAACAGAACGGTGGAACCAATGACAGCAACAAACACATAGTTATTAAGCATGCCTCGAAAGACATCGATTTTGTCCATCTCCCTGGAACTTATTTCGTTAAAAATCTGTCACAACAAAATCCGGTTAGCATTTGGAGTTGAGACTTTTAAATCTCCGAACAGTGTAGGATGGATGAAAAGGGTTAGAAACAAGAAGTGTGTGGTACCTGACAGAACACAAAGGAATTGAAGATGAGGGTATTCAGTATCTGATCAGAATCAGTGCTGTCTAGATCAAACGCTTCTTTCCCTTTGGCCTGTAAAAACCATATCACTGAGAGCTGATACACGGACTGCCCCAAGATATTTCTCCACATGACATTGCTGATAAAACTTCCTCTCCTTCCAACGGGTAAGCGCTTCATCAACTCATCATTCGGAGGCTCAGTGGCGAGAGCCAAAGCTCCAAGTGTGTCCATAATCATGTTCACCCACAAGAGCTGGACTGCAGTAAGGGGTGCATTACCTGAAGCATGTTTTTACACCAGAAGAAGGTTAGCAGATGGAAGGAAACAAAACTTTTTTGGGCCTAATAAAAATAAGTGAACCAAGCGCTATATGAGCTGTTCTAATATTTAACCTGTCAAACAAGCTGAAGAGAAGTTCACAATCAACGCCACAATGTTGACAGTCAGCTGGAATTGCACGAATTTTTGAATATTTATGTAAACAGAACGACCCCATTTTCCCACAGTCACGATAGTAGAGAAATTATCATCAAGAATGATCACATCAGCACTCTCTTTGGCGACCTGAAATCCAAAAACAGAGGTCCATCAAACAGTCAAATCACAGCAGAGAACATCGTAAAGTAATCTGGATATGTTGCCAAGTAGCTCTAAGTTAAACTCGCCTCAGTTCCAGCAATGCCCATTGCTAGTCCAATATCTGCTTCATGAAGCGCAGGAGCATCGTTTGTTCCATCACCAGTAACTGCAACAACTTCATCAAAGGTGGTCCGCAAATGCTTGACCAGGGTGTGCTTATCTAGAGGTGAGGATCGAGCCATCACCTACAAAAGAGTTTACCCAAGTGTGAATCATATAAACTATTTGAAGGAAGTTGGAAGGTGCAGAGATATTAGGAAAATAACGAAGCACCTGAATTTTGGGAATAATTTTAAGCAATTCCTCTTGAGTCTTCTCTCTGAAATCTGGACCCTCAATGGCTATGCCATCATCAGTGAGAATTCCACATTCCTTAGCAATAGCTTTTGCAGTATTAATATTGTCGCCGGTAACCATTCGTACAGTAATACCAGCTGAACGACAAACTGCAACAGACTCCTTAACACCAGGACGAACAGGATCTTTAATACCCACAATACCAATGCAGGTATAACCAGAAACGGGAATAGGATCATTGACAGAGAATCCATTTTCCAATTCCATATAGGCAAGGCAAAGTGTTCGGAGAGCCTCACCAGCAAATTGATCGATAATAACATTGAGATGTTTGGTGGAAGTTTCATCTAAAGGAACAGCCTCACCACTCGAGTTGATCACCTTGTCACAGGCAGCCAATACTATTTCTGAAGCACCTTTAGTGTGAGCTCGGAAACCACCTTCAGGAAATTGTAGGACAACACCCATCCGTTTTTTCAAAGAATTGAATGGCTCAACTTTAATAAGTTTACCTGCCTGTCTCTCAGCCTGAAAATCACCACCGAGTGAAAGACCAAACTCTAATAATGCAGTCTCAGTGGGAGTGCCCAACAACTCACGTTTGCCATTTTTGTTGATTACAACTTCTCCCCCAGTGTTGTTGAATATTGATTGTAGCAGAAGCTTGACAACGGAGGATGGAAGGTCAGAGCAGAAGCTTGATGGATTATTACTTGATTCTTTGACATTCATGCAAATGCATGATTTGACCACTGTCATGTGATTTGTAGTGATTGTTCCAGTTTTGTCACTACAAATAGTTGTGGCAGAACCCATAGTTTCACAAGCTGCAAGGTGACGGACAAGTGCTTTATCATTCATCATTTTCTTCATGGCAAAGGCAAGGCTTAATGTCACAGCCAAAGGAAGCCCCTCTGGCACAGCAACAACAACAATTGTGACTGCAACGGCAAAGAATTCCAATATCTCTAATGCGTCATCTCCTGACCAGTTCCAGTGAGTCCCTTCTCGAAGCTTCTGGCTAACCAATCCTTGAACCAACACAGCGAATGTGATGATGGCAAAGAAAAGACCTATTTTCCCAATAATTGTTGCCACTCCATTCAA